ACCTTCTGGCCACAGGCGACAACTTTGACCAAGTGTAAATGAATTAAATATCATAAGATTTTCTTTAAGTTGTCCAAGTGTAAATGAATTAAATATCATAAGATTTTCACCTTAAAGAAGTAGTATGATCAATTCTGAAGAGGCCTGCAGAAGTAGCATACTCTTCCAATCTCAGCTCATGAAGCTCCTTTGGGTCATTAGGGACAACAACCTTCCACTTCCTAGCTGCAGCAACAACAACTTGAGCAATCCTAGTGAATGGACTTCCTGAAGGTTTTTTATGCCTATAGTAACGAGTCCCTAACAAGAAAACCATTACTGAAACAGCAAGTCCAGCAGTTGGAAGGCCATAACCAACACCCCATCCCACATTGTCTTGCAAGTAAACAAGGAAACTGTTGGAGAAGAGAGTTCCAAGAAAGATGCTAAACATCCACCAGTTGAAAAAGGAGAGCTTTTGAAACCTCTCTTTAGGTTCAAAATCATCAAACTGGTCTGCACCCATTGTTGAGATATTAGGCTTTGTTCCACCAGTGCCAATAGCAACTATGTATAAAGCACAATAGAAGATGCCAATTTGGAAAGCAGAAGCCCTTTTAGTGCAGTCTATCTCTTTGATTCCTTTGCCACAACTTGGGGGTCTCAAGGCTTTCAATGAAACAGCCATTGTCAATAAGCACATTCCCTGTTGTTATGTGAGCCAAAGAACAAGACACGGTTAAGCAGGCAAAAGAGTGTATGATGTGAATGAAAAACTAGTAAATGTCATCGAATTTGCCAATTATGACAAAAAAGTAAAACTATTTCTTGTCATATTAAGTAATTGAACTTTACCCGCTAAAATATATAGTAAAGTCACTAAACTTTACTTTCTACAATAGTATATATAATCACAAAATTGTCGCAGAAAATAAAGTTCAACTACTTTAGTGTGATAAAAAACAAATTTGTAACTTTACTGTTATAGTGAGTAAGTTTAATTACTGAGTATAATGTATCAAAAAATAATTTTATGATTTTACTAATTAATTCAATGACTATACGTGAAACTAACCCATGTAATACCAAAGGATTTAACGTTAATGTAAAGAATTATTTATAGTATTATTGTTTTTTAAAATACGTTATATATCGCAAGTAATCTACCTTATGTTTTAAATAGTTATCTCTATCACTTTTTATGAATGGGGTTACCGGTTACATATAGAGTAAAAATCTTTTACACAGAAGTTAAACTCAATTGAAACTAAGAGGAGTAAATAATTACCAGAATGTAAATAGCAGAAGAGATGAGAAAAGTGGAGTAACGACCAAGATGAGCATCAGCAATGTAAGCACCAAGAATGGGAGTCAACCAAACAGTACCAACCCAATTGGTCACATTATTTGAGGATTTCACAGTTCCTTCATGCAGCTCGTCTGTTAGATATATCACCAGATTTGTTGCTATCCCGTAGAATGCCATCCTCTCAAATACTTCATAACCTATGGACATATTTATAAGCTAGCGTACGTTTTCATCAAATCATAAATGCACAAGGTTTTCCAATATTCTACTATATACTACCTACGTTCAACATTGGTCGTAGAATTATTGTTCTATATTGACCGAGCACATGAACTCTCTTCTCATAAGCTAGTTTTTGTGTGGTTGAGTTATACCAGTAGATGGAATTTCATTTTCTTAACATGGCTTAATACGTACTAGCCTGATCATATATACATATATATAACACTGGTATATTATATCGGTTTTAAGGATCACGAGTTTTCTAATAATGGTGAGATATTTTAAAATTTAAAGGAGATAAAAAGTGGGGAAAATCACCAACTCTTTTGATTGTTGAGACTTGAGACTTAAAGATTATTTACACGTTAATCAAGAGATGCTCAATACCCCACTTAAAAGGTTGTCTAGGTTGTGTTAAAATTAGTGCATATATATTTAACAACCATAATGTCTCAGAATCAAAAATAAAAATCTTAACCAAGCATAAATTAAAGTAGCAAGTGGATAGATAGATTTCTAAGAATTTATCTATACACTGAAATCTAAGTGTAAAGAACTTATATATATATATATATATATATATATATAGCCTATAGGTGCATAATTCAACATATTGTAGATATATTCTACTACTAATAAGTAGCTAGTAAGGTCTGCCAAAACAGCACGTTTTTGTTTTTAGTCTTCACCGCTTATTTATCATTTCTTTTAACTTAATTCATAACTTCTGCTATATATATGCAAAGAAGATGTTATATGTATAATTGTATATTATTTAATTTGGAGAAAACTAAACATACCAACAATGAAATAACAAGCTCTCCATCTGCCAGTTTTGGATCTGAGAACAGGTCTACCTTTGAGGTCCACAGTCCCATCTTGTGTATAATCCTCACTTCCATTAGTAGCTCCTTTCTCTAATTCTTCAGTCATGATACACAAATTAAGAAGAAATCAGATTTTGGTTAGGGGTTGGGTTTTGGAGACTCTTTCTTATGAGAGCGCTGCATATATTTCGAAGTCTACAATTTGTGCCAGCTTTTATATATTGAAGGTTTCTATGCGTATCCTCATATATATATAATTCCAAATGTTGCTTTTACTTTGCATTTAAAATATAGTAATAGCCTATAACTAAAGCAAAAGAGTTTTATATTCCAAGTTATGTGCTAATTTTATTTTAATTTGGAAAAGTGTGTCTTGTCCACATATATATTGTTGGAAGGTGCAGCATCAATGTTATCGACCAATATGTAATATTCTGAAGCCAGAAATAGGCATGTTCTAGAGAAGAGGAGAGAAGTTAATGTTGTACTCCTT